GCGGACCATGGTATCAACCAAATGCCACGCCTGCCACGTCCTGTTTTCGCGGTATAGCTGGCTCCCGCACCGCTGTGGCGTGGAGAAGGCGCCGCGCCTGCCACGCTCCGCGACCCCGGATCGGTAAACGAGGGCCATTGTACCAGGGCGGCACGGCAACAAACAATCAAGCAACGCAAGACACGGAATACGATATTCGGAGAAATGCCTCCGACGGCGCCCATCTCACAGAGCTAGCGGGCAAAACAATTATGGCGCGACCATGCTCCGTCGGCATTGTGTCCGAATGCCCTTTGATGGAAAATCTCTGGGACAAGGCTAGCAACAAAAAAACATGGCACCGCTTCTATCAGAAAAACTCCAGCGCTTCGCCCCGCGCACTCCAGCGACCTCAAACCGCCGGAAGATCCATTGGTGCTAAGCGAGAGCGCGAAGCGTCACGGCATATTTCAAGACGTGCACCCCAGGTCCTCTGCACCCACACGGTCTCTGGCCTTTGGTCGGGATTACCCGACGATGTCCCGATCTACTCGACCCATTATTGCATTCGTGTCTTCCACGCACGCTTACTGTCCAGGGCCTGGATCGAACTCTTCGGATCTGGGCTCAGTGGCGACAGAGATCGCACGCCCAGCGCACGCCCTGTGCCGAAGGGGGAGTGCCACGCCTGCCAAGCGTTGCGAGCCCGAAGCGGATAGCGACCGCACCACTGAGGCCCCCCCTGTGGCGTCGAGGAAGTGCCACGCCTGCTCACTTTGCAAGCCCCACACGAATAGCGACCACACCCCCAGGGCACTCCCTGTGGCGTCGAAGAAGTGCCACGCCTGCCGTATTTTGCGAGCCCGAAACGGACGGCGACCGCACCCCCACGGCACCACCTGTGGCGCCGAAGAAGTGCGACGCCTGTCAAATGTTGTGAGCCCGAAGCGGATAGCGACCGCACCCCCAACCCCTTGTGGCGTCGAGGAAAAGAATTACACGCCGCGCCTTAAAGCCCCGAAACGGATAGCGATCGCCCCCCCCCCCTGTAACGTCGAGAAACGGCGGCACTTTGCGAGCCCGAAACGGATAGCGACCACACACCCAAGGCACCCCCGTGTGGCACCGAGAGAGTACACCACGCCTGCCACGTTTTGCGAGTCCGAAACGGGTAGCGACCGCCCCCCCTGCGCACCTCTGTGATGCCGAGGAAGCGTCACGCCTGCCGCGCTTTGCGAGCCCGAAACGGATAGCGACCGCACCCCCACGGCACCCCCTCGCGGCACCGAGAAAATGCCACGCCTGCCATTCCCTGCGAATCCGAAACAGATAGCGACCGCACACCCTGCGCACCCCCTCTGGTGTCGAGGAAGTGCCACGCATGCCACGTCCTGTGCAAACTACGCGTCTGTGTTGTGTGGTCTGCGTGTCATGTGGGTAATTCGGTTCTCGTCTGTGTGTCTCGCGTATGTGTATGATGTGGTGTGTGTGTGTGTGTGCGTGTGCGTATGTGTGCGTTGGTTCATCGCGGGGGGGGGACGCGGCTGAGAAGACAACCGTAAACCCACGGAACACGTAGGGAAATATTCCGTTTGGTTCCATTGCATGTGTATTCCGTCTCCTCCTGTACGGCATTCCTCCTCAGTCTGTTAGGTTAGTTGTTACGGTGTTGTGCCCATTCTCCCACCAGCTTCCTGCTTGGTTAAGCTGCGCCCTGAAGGCACTCATTATTGTCCCACTTCTTCTGGTCCCTCCTGCGCCCGCACTAGCGTCAACCTTTATTTGTGTTCGCACTTCGCTAACTCGGAATCCGTTTTTTGCCACTGGAAGAACGCAACCGCCTCGATGCTTATGTATGGCCAGCGTAAAAGTGAGCAGCGGCAGGAGGAACAACAGGCGGAGCAAATATGATGATCGCGTTGTTTCTCTTCCTTCTTGACCTCCTTCCTTGGTTCGTGCTCGCTTGCGGAGCCCCCTTCCCATCAGTTGGGAAGTTGTCGCGGTACGTCGATACTTTTTTGACGAGTTCAACTTGTCGCGTGCACGCTGATAGCCGCGGGGCTGCTGTTGCTGCTGCTGCCCCGTCCGCGCGTTTCGCGCCCCCCTCTCTCCCTGCCCATCTGCTCTCTCCTTTTTCCCTCCCCGCCCCGGGGCGTGGAGTCATTCGCGCCGCGCGGCCCTCCCGGGGTCTGAGTCAGGGGCGCGCCGCCCGCAGACTCGTGGAGGCCTTGACGTGCTCTGGCGAGACCCTCCCTCAGTGGACACCCGTTGCAATGATCAGTGGGTGCCAGGCGGAACAGCGGGTGATGGGCTTGTTTTCCACCGCCACCACCATAAGTTGGAAGGGGGAAGGAGGTGGAGGATGAGGCGGAGGAGGAAGAAGAGGGGGAGGCGGACCCCCTCCTCCCTCCAACTTATGGTGGTGGTGGTGGTGGAAAACAAGCCCATCAGCGGGGCCTGAGCAGCAGCAGCAGCAACGCTGCAGTTCTGGCGTTCACGGCGATCCTGGCGAAGCGGATGCTTGCGAGCGCCACAGCATACCTGTGAGCATCAAAGCATGCCTGCCAGCACAACCACAGCCCGCCCGTGAGCACATGGCGCCATACCTGAGGGGGGAACCAGCACCACCCCCGCGTACGTTCGATACCGTTACGGGGGGGGGGACCCCCCGTCACGGACGTTACGAGTTCAACACATAAGAAACACCCTCTGCCCCATCCACCGCTGCACCGCCCCTGCACAGGCAGGAGGAGCCCAACGTGGACCCCTTCCAAGGGACGGGCTCTTCATCCTCAGTCGATTTCTGACGGCCCAGGGGCCCAGTACGGAGCCCCCGGAGGCCGAAGGTCGCCAAACGCCTTCTGCCTCATGTTTCCCATATCTTAAGATGGGGCTCCTCTTATGACTTAGACGCTTCAGATTCCGAACCTCCTACTCCATCCTCTAGCTCACCCAGACTCAATCACACTCAGACTTCACACTCGGACTCACTCATCACACTCAGACCCGTTCAACTCAGAGTCACTCACACTCAGATTCACTCACGCTCAGACCCACTCACACTCAGACACACTCATACTCAAACTCATCCGCTCTCCGACTCACTCACGCTCTGACATACTCACGCTCAGACTCACTCACACTCTGACTCACCCACACTCAGACTCACTCATACTCAGACTCACTCGTACTCACACTCACTCAGACTCAGACTCACTCACCCTCATACTCATACTCCCCCATACACGCAAGGCGCTAGCTTCAGCACCCCAAAGGGGAGCCGCCAGGGTTTATTTCACGGGCCCGTTCGCGGCCAGATTGTGGGGATGCCTCAGCCAGTTTGCCTGTTTCGGTGCTCAGACTCGCTTGCTTTCAAAGTAGATTGTGAAGATATCCCCTGCGAGGCGCTGCTTTCAGCACTCCGAATGGGGGAGCCGCCAGGGAGTATTTCACGGGCCTGTTCGGGGCCAGATCGCGGGAATGTCTCAGGCGGCTTGCCTGTGTCGGTGCTCAGACTCGTTTACTTTCAAATTAGATCGTGAGGATATCCCGGGCGAGGCGCTGGTTTCAGCACTCCGAACGGGGGAGCCGCCAGGGAGTATTTCACGGGGCTGTTCGGGGCCAGATTGCGGGGACGTCTCAGGCGGCTTGCTTGCTTCAGTGCTCAGACTTGTTTGCTTACTGAGCAGACTGTGAGGACGTCCCGAGCGAGGCCTTGGTTTCAGCACTCCCAAGGGGGGGGATGCCTCGGGCGGTTTGCCTGATTCGATGCTCAGGCTACGTGGCTTGCATTCAGAGCAGATTGTGAGGATGCCTCACGCGATTTGCTGGTTTCAGGGGACTCCCAAGGGACCCACATTGTGGGCATGCCTCAGGCGGTTTGCCTGTTTGATGGTTTGGACCCCTCGGCGTTCAGAGCAGATTGTAAGGATGTCTCGAGTGGAGCGCTGGCTTCAGCACCCCAAGTGAGTGGAGCGCTGGTTTCAGCACCCCAAGGGGCCCAGGTTGCCGAGATGTCTCGAACGGTTTGCCTGTCTGGCGGTCTAGAATCCTTTGCTTTCAAAGCAGATTGTGAGGCTGCCTCGAGTGGGGTGCTGAATTCAGGATCCCAAGGGAGAGCCGTCGGTAGCCCGTTCGCGTCCAGATTGCGGGGATGTCTTGAGCGGTTTGCCTGCTTGGTGGCTTGGGCTCCTCAGCTTTCAGAGCAGATTGTGAGGATGTCTCGAATGAGGCGCTGGTTCTAGCACCCCAAGGGGGAGCCGCCAGGAATGGTTGCACTCGCCTGTTCGCCGCCAAATTGTGGAGATGTCTCGAGCGAGGCGCTCGTTTTGCACTTCCAACTCAGAAGGGAGGGGCTACGACGAGAAGGAAGAAGGGGGAGGGGATGGGGCCTGCTCGCTGCCTCTCTGGTTGTGAATTGTCGTCGTCGTTGTCCCTCATCATAACCGCCGTCGTCGTCGTCGTCGCCGTCGTCGCCGTCGTCGTCGTCGTCGTCGTCGTCGTCGCCGTCGTCGTCTCCGCCGTCCTCTCGGATTCACGCTCACACGCAGGCAGGCACTCAAAGCCAGAAGCTCACGACGGGACGTGCCAGAACATGAGATGCACGCGTGGGGATCTCCGCGTCGAGTAGTTTGCTTCACGACACGAGGATGTCGGCCTTCGGGCCGTACCTCTCGTCTCAGGCAGCCATCCTGACGACTCCAGCACCCCCAGAACGCTCTCGGCGAGGCGCAGCTCCTAGAACGCGTCCCGAGGCGAGAAGGCCTCCACGTATCGGGCACACGCTAGCGTGGATCATGGACCTGTGGATCTGGCGCGTTGGCGCCTCTGTGGATCGGGGAGGGCAGCCCCGAAACCTGAGGCCAGTGCCGCCTGATTTGGCGACGGAGCGCGCCGATTCTGCATGGAAGCGGGACCTGTCGCTACTCCGCACGCCTCGATCCATGCTTGCGCTTCTCCGAAAGAACACGACGGACTCTTCCGACAACCTCCGGCGTTTGGCGTGCTCCCCCTCGGAGGGCCTTGCGGGCCTTGCTGGCCGCCCCCGACAGGGCCATGCTGCCCCCCCCACGGCGGATTAGGCCGCTGGGAGCGCCCGTCCGCCTGAGGGAGAGCGAGAAGGGGAGGGTGCTGGCTCAGAGGTGAAGCCTCGACCTGGAACCGGCGATTCATCGCCGATAGATCGGCACTCTAGGCACCCGATAGCGAATCCGCACGCTTCTGGGCGGGGCGGGCTATCGGGGCCCCCACTGGCGATGAAAAGGCGACTGTGGGGAAAGCGAAGGGTACCGATACCGCTACTCCCTGGACCTCTTCGAGGGTGCGTTCTGACCAAAACTTCGAGGCGAATCCAGCGGTGGCTGCGAGGGCCTCCCAGGAGGCTCAAAGAGGCAAGAACGAGGCAAGGGTAGAGCGGTATCGGTACCTGCCTCCCCTAAGATTTGTGGGTCGGTGCGTCCCCCTTTGAGCCTACGGTCAAGAACTTTTGCTTAGCGTGTCGCAGCGGAGGCCCCGGCGACACGCTGTGCCCTGCAAGCGGATAGCGTGTCGCTCTGCTCCGTGGGGCGGAAGGTGGGGAAAAGCTCAGGACGTGGACGCCTGTGGACCAGGACGTGGAAAGCGTGCCGCGTCGAGGCGTGGGGGGGCAGAACTGGCGGAGCCTTGGACTTGGACTCGGCCTGCGTCTTGCACCGCGGGGTGCTGCCGGGTGGGGTCGAAGCGCCTGGACAGTACTGGAGTGTAAAACCGAAGCGACACGCTGCTACGAGGAGGGGGGAGGAATAAGACAGTGCGAACACAAAGGAAGCCAGTCGGCCGCTCAGTGACAGGAGCTGGAGCAAGAAAATTTGAGGCAGGAGTCGAAGAGGCATGACCCGGAGTCGGAGAGATGAGTGCCGGAGTCGGACAGCTCCGATCTAGACGCCCTCCGCGGCAGTGTTGGCCAGATCTGGCGTCGGAGCTGGCGGAGCGAAACGCTAACCAAAAGTTCGTGGCCGCAGTTACATGTTTGGATGACCGCAGGGGTTGCTAAGGGGATGGGGAGCTTACATGTGGATGTGAAAGTGGCTGACACATGGCCTACCATAGCTCAGAAGTGGGTCAACAGTGCCCTAAGTGGCTTGAGATCTGGACTAAGTGCGCTGCGCCCACTTAGCGGAGTTATCGAACCCACCCACGCCACCAAGGGCACTTGTAACTCACTGATCGGTTAGCTCACGCCAGGTACAACTCACCTTAGCATCCACTTGTACCGCCCCCCCCACATACACTTAGCACCCCCCGCGGTCATCCGAATAACCCGAGGTCCGCGCGGACTTCTCGGATCGGCGCTGGGGCCCCCTGGCGGCGCCTTCAGCGCCGCCTCTGTCCGAGAAATCCGCGCGGACCTCCGAACACTTGTGATGGTACTGTAACTTGTTTTATCTCGAGGCGTTCCCCCCAAGTTGACCAGGGACCGACCGTCCTTGCCTTCCTATACGCCTAGGACGAAATACTCTCAGAACTGAAGAATGATGTAGAAACAAAGACAGTGTCCAGACCATACCGACCAAATCAAGACGGCCTCAGCCAGAAACATGTTCTGAGACCACGCCGTGCAAGCCACGAAGGGTTCTTACACGTCGGTCGGAAGAAGCAGGCAGCAACATGAAGTAGGAAAGCGTAGATTGGGCCCTGGCTCTCCCAGAGAATAGCACAAAGCACAGCAAACAACGTAGCGATTCTTGAAGCAGGAAGGGGCCTGTAGCGTAGAGTGGGACCCGGGAACCCAAAGCAAATACAGACCTTCTCAACGACCGGCGTGCAGGACGCCTCGCCGCTGCTCCACCGAACGTCGTTCCCCCCCCCCCCCCTCCGACACCTCCGCGGGGGGCGCCGGGCCGGAGCCGGCTGCGCGCACGTCGCCCGCGGAGGCCGGGCGCGGGGCGGAGCCGCCAGGGGCGGTGGCGCTGCCGCCGGCGCGCGACTCCTCGGCAGGCGCGGACCGCCCCGCCCGCCCGCGCGGCGGAGGCGCGTGTTGCGTATCGGGGGCAGCCAAGGATCCGACTCCTCGATTCGACTCAGGACTCTCCCCGCCCCCCTCGCGCTCCTCCGCCCCACGGAGCACGCCGCCAGATCTCTTTGGTCGCACCCGAAGACCGTTGGCATCGCTCGGACGTGTGCATATGTTCCTCGGCGAGGGCCATCGATGAGCATCTGGGATCATCTTGCGGAAAAGAAGCGCACGAAGCAGAAGAATGCATGGGGAATGGCCGTCCCCGGCGATCGCTCGGATCCTCTGCTGCCCCGAAACGCAAAACGCGACACGTAGCGTATTGATACGGAGCTCAACAAGTCGACTGAACAAGTAGGTCTGACGCGATGCGTTCGCCAAAACGCGGGCGAATGCGCTGAGCCAACACGCAACGTATTGTCACGGACTTTTTTTCAGCACGGTACGTGTTGCGTCTCAAACCGGGCGTATCGAGGCAGCTAAGGTCGGATCGGCGATCGAACCAGATCGGATCGGTGGAGATCGGCAGCCGAGTCGGGAAAGGTGGAGTCGGCAGAAATCGGCAGGCTGGTGAGGCCTCCATGATGAGAAACCGAAATCCAACTCGGAATCCGAAATCCCACAAGCCCTTGAGGGCGTGGGTGGTTTAGGGAGTTTCCTCTTCCAACCCCCTTTTCTCCCCTTGGGGGAGGGGTTTCCCCCTCCTCCACCCTCCCCCGGGACCTGGAGAGGGGGCGTCCAAGATGGCCTCGGCGAGAGAGCCAAAATCATTGAATGTACAAAAGGTTTGGGCCACATTCTGGCCTCCTGGGGGTGGGGGCCTAATTAGGGAGCTCCCCTCCTAAGATGGTCCCCGAGCCTCCCCAGGGCACCCCAAGACGCCTCCAAGACGTGCCCAGGAGGCCCCCCAGAGGCCCCCAAGATGCCCCCAGAAAACGCTCCAAAGACACTCCTAGAGCCCCAAGAGGCTCCCAAGACGCCCCAAGAGGCCTCGGCGAGAAGGCCAGAATCAATGATGTTACCACGGTTTTTGCCACGTGAGGCCTCCTTGGGGAGGGACCCTAAATAAGGAGCCCCCGCCTTTGATCGATATCCTCCTAGATGGCCCCAAGATGGCCCCCGAGCCTTCCAAGGGTGCCCCAATGGGGGCCCCAAGAGGTGCCAGGGACGCCCCAAGAGGCCCCCAAGAGGCCCCCGAGAGGCCCCAAGAGGCCCCCGAGAGGCACCCAAGACGGCCCAAGAGACCTCGGCGAAAGGCCACAATCAATGATGTTACTACGGTTTTGGCCACATTGGCCTCCTGGGAAAGGGGCGTGGGGGCCAAATTAAGGAGCCCTCTCCTTTGATCGATCTTCTCCTAGATGGCCTCAAGATCGCCCCCGAGGCTTCCAAGGGTGCCCCAAGACGCCCCCACGAGGTGCTTAGGAGGCCCCAAGAGGCCCCAAAGAGGCCCCCAATATACCCCCGCGAGGCCCCCAAGGGACCCCAGAGCCACACAAGACGACCAAAGAGACCCCGGGACTGCCAAGAGTCCCCCAAGACGCCCCAAGAGGCATCCAAGAGGCCTCTGGCTTTCCTGCTCGCCCTCCTCCTGCCTCTACTCCTTCTCTTCCTCCTTTTCCTTCTCCTCTTTTTCCTCCTCCTCCTCCTCCTCCTCCTCCTTCTCCTTTTGCTCCTCATTCGCCTAGTCCTCCTCCTTCCTCCTCCCTCCTCCCCATCCCCTCCTCCTCCTCCCCCTCTCCCTCCTCCTCCTCCTCCTCCTCCTCCTCCTCCTCCTCCTCCTCCTCCTTTTGCTCCTCATTCGCCTAGTCCTCCTCCTTCCTCCTCACTCCTCCCCATCCCCTCCTCCTCCTCCCCCTCTCCCTCCTCCTCCTCCTCCTCCTCCTCCTCCTCCTTTTCCTCCTCATTCGCCTAGTCCTCCTCCTTCCTCCTCCCTCCTCCCCCTCCCCCTCGCCATGCTCCTCCTCCTCCTCCTCCTCCTCCTCCTCCTCCTCCTCCTCCTCCTCCTCCTCATCCGTCTCTGCTCATCCTCCGATTCCTCCTCCATCCTCCCTCTCTTGGGGTATGACGTCTTACCCAGCCCTTTATTCCACTGCATGCTCCTCCGCATCCCTGGTCAGGGCAACTCGTCTGGACATCGTGTCCAGAAGGGCTGGTGGAGTTACGAGAAGCGTCTCGAATCGAATCGAATCGGAATATAATCGATCGATCGGAATAGGAATCGCGAGCCGAGTGAATGGAAATGAGCCATAAGGGGGGTGGCCTGCTAGACGGGGTGTTTCTTGGAAGGCGGGGGCCTTCCCAGAGGGGCCCAGAAGCTTTTGAGAAGCCTTCCTGGAGGCCGGGAGGGCTTCTAAGAAGCCACCCGCCTTCTGAGAAGCACCCACACCTTCTTCGAATGACACCCCCTCGCGACACCCCCACTTGTGCGCGCCGCCAAAAACAATGGTGTCCCTGGTCCAAATTGTCCCCAGGACTTTCAAGAAGGCCCCCCACGGCCTCGAGGGCACCCTTCACGAGGCCCCGAAAGCCTCAGGGGCTCCAGCATGGAACGACAAGCTGGGGGACGCCTTGGGCCAACCACCCTGTGGAGATGCTGCTCGGGGGGTGTGTGGTGGGGGTTAACGTCGCTTTTGCGGTGTTCGTCGGCTTCAATTGTTCGCTGTGTGCTTGTTTGTTGTTATGTTGCTTTCTCTTCCCCCTGGCATGCTGACCAACAACTGCGCCTCGCCGAGGGCCTTCCAGGGGTGCCAGAGCCGTCCCGAACGGCCGCCAGAGACCCGAGCTAGGACCCGAAAGCCAAACATCCTCGCATCGTGGAACAATCACGACGGACAGCTTCTGGCAATCGTCGGCCTCTGGGTGCCCTCACTGGATGAAGAGCCTGTCCCCAGGAGGTCCAGAAATCACCACGTCGGATGTTTGGGCTCGGGCGAGGCGTATCCCCCCGAAGCTGCTTGCCCGTATGGGGCTCTTACGTGGTATTGTGAGAGAGGTTCGCGGGCGGATCGAAGGACTCTAGAGGCCCGGGGGCGCGCGGGGCGACGAGCGGGAGGCCCCCTTCCTCCCGGACGTTTTGCGCGCTTGAGCCACAACGGTATCGGACGCAGTCAGCCTGGCACAGGCAGGCTCCCCATTCACACTGAGTACAGTGTGAAGCCTATCAAACTCTAAGAACATTCCGGGGGACCTCATGGGACAGGGGGTCGAGTATTTAAAAGACAGCACCCCCTACTTTAGTGTCCCATGAGGTCCGTCGCGACAGCAAGCAGGGAGGCGAGGCCACTAGGATCCACGAACCGCTCCCCTTCCCTCTCCCCCCATCGGTTCCGGGCCCGGGTCGGAGGGTACTGGGCCCTGCAGGCCAGGCGGACGCGAGGGCGACCTCGTCGTCGTCCTGGCGGGGCGCGACCCTCCTCCTTTTTTCTCCTCCTCAGCCTCCTCTGCGTCCTCGCCAGCCTCAGTGGGCTGGGACTCTCTCTGTAGAACCCGCCGCGATGCATTCCGAGTCCGGGATTTCAGCGACAGGTTGAGAGACCGCTCGTCGAGCGACCCAGACTCGTCCGTTAGCGCCAGCATCCCCTTGTGCATGAGATCAGTCAGAGCAAAATTCCCTCGTCCTGGGTCGACCTTGGTCAGAGCGTCAGCGGGCATCTTGCAGTGTGGAACCCACCTCACCACTGTCCCCTCGGCTGTCATCGAGTCCCGGACTATCGCCATCTCGATGGCGTTGCGGCGGTCTGCCCTGGCACCCCCGCAGTTCTTGGACAGCGTATCGAAGAGGGACTTCGCATCGACTACGGCGACGCCCTCGGAAGCCTCGGCGATGGCACACTCGTCGACGAGCGCGACTGCAAAGGGGCAGGACGTCCCTGAGTTCCACCATTCAGGCCCCTTCACATCTCCATACAAAGCATCCCGGAAAACGGGCCACAACCACTGCCACTCGGCGAGAGCCCCGGAAAGACTCAACGTCTCCACCGACAGGGTGGACGAGACGACTCGACGGAGCCTCTGGCTTCTCCAAGACAAGAGCGAGACACGAGAGCGACGATTGTCTTTGATCCTGGAGTCCCCTAGCATCACGAGCCAGCCTCCTTGAGCACCGTCTCTTTTAGCGGACCCGGGGCCCCCCGCATCGCTGCGCGTGACCATGGTCACGGCACTCAGGTCCAAGGGCCAGATCGTCAGGCAGGAGCTGGCCGTGCACCGGAGGTGGCGAGCTACCTTGTTAGCCATGAGAGCCGAGGCTATCTTGACCTGTGGGCATTCGGCGCTCAGCATCGAGGCGGATCCGGACACGTCGGGGCGAGACTGGCGGGCCGCCCAGAGAATCTTCGCCACTAGGCCGCGATAGTCTCGGAGCTCTCCTGCATCGAGCAACTCCTCGGGACACTTGACACGCTCCTTGTCGAGTTTCATGGGACGGACCTGCTCCAGAATATACTCTTCCTGGTCGACGAGAATGCGCCCATCTGACTGCTGGCGGATCCTTCTCCCTGCGTATTCGGCCTCGCCGACCTGCCATTTACCGAAATGGAAACGGCTGGTCAGCAACTTCTTGAGCTCGCTCTCATATGAAGGCTCGCAAGAAACAATGAGATCGTCGACCTCAATCACTACAAGAGCCTTGAGGCTACCCGAGGCATGGTGGGCGATCCAGAGACACGGCTCCAAAAGGGAGCGCCGAAACCCCAAGGACTTTAAGTGATTAGTCAAGGTCTGATGCCAACGAATCGGAGCATCGTTCAGGCCGTAAACTGGGGCCACAAGTTCCAGGAGGGCCCCGCGGGGGACGTCAGCGCCATCGCATGGCTCGACATATATCTTCCCGTCGGGGAGGGAGAGGGGGTCCGCCTGACAAAAAGCGTTTTTACAGTCCGCTATCTGAAGCCTCCACTTCTTGCCAGCTATCAGCTGGAGAGCAACCAACACGGCCTCCTCATGAGGAGTCGGAGCGTACACGTGCAGAGACTCCGCGTCGGGATCGGCGTACCCCCTCATGCACCAGCGTGACTTTGCCTTCTCGCTGGCTCCCGTGCCTTCCTGCGGCTTCCACCGACGGACCATGCGCGACGAGAGAATCCTGGGTGGATCCCTCCGACGGACCAGGGCCGCCTCCGAGGGGGAAACCACTCGCACTGCCTTAGTAGCGGTTAAGCGGTCATGGCGGACCACTCGGCCGCATCCGCCTTCTTGAACTCCTCTCGCTCCTCTGGACTGAGTTTGTTCCAGACGATCTCCTGGCCCCGCCGGGGCCCGCCTGGAGTCGGTCCGGCCGTGGCAAACGAGGATGTCGGACTGGAGTCTTCGTCCCCGGGACCTGGGCCCCAGGTCGCCAACTCCTGGAGAAGCATCCGGTCCTGTTCGTCGGCCCCGTCCTCTTCCCTGAGCTCGATCAGGTCCTCCTCCTCTCCGCAAGTCAGTTCGATCAAAGTACCGGGATCGCCTCCGGCGTCGTCCGCCGAACTCCTCTGGGCCTCCCACTCCTGAACCCTCTCGGCCACGGAGGCCGACTCTCGGAGCTCCACCGGCGTCACCCCGGGACCCGCGGGAATAACGTGGATGCGAGAGAGCAACCCGCGCATGGGCGATCCGGCTCGTCGAGTGCGTCGAGACGTCGACCCCTCAGCTGGTCGGGCGGCAGCTCGCGGAGACCTCTCCCTGACCCTTTCTGGTTCGACTGAAGCCCCCGGATTCGAGTCGCCTCGACGACCGTCGATGGTCCTGACCAGACTTGGGGCGGATGACGCAGCGGGAGACGGGCTGGGACTGCCCTCTACTCGGGGTCGAGCTCGAGGCGGTTCCTCCAGGCCTGGAGGGGGATCCAACTTATCCTCCTTGTCCTCGAGGGGTTCGGTCCTGACGAATCGACCCAGGTCAGGCGCAGGACGGGGGGGGTGCGGGGCGTCCAGAGCTCGGCGCAAGTCCTCGGGAAGCTCGCTCTGGTCTCCTAAGCTCACGACCTCACTGCTCTCGGGAATGGTCGGAAGAGGGGACCTGGCTTCCACCGAGGCTTCCGCGGGCTCCGAGGGACGAGCCGACGCCGTTCCGCCTCCTCCGCCAGTAGTGACCGGTCCTCCTGCTTCGGGCCCGATCGCGTCCTGACCGTCCCAGGCCTCGTCGGGGGGGGGACCCTCGGATTCGACGTCCAGAGCCCCCACCTTCTTGCCTGGGTTGCGAACTTCAGCTTGAAGGGCCCGAAACTCCGGGGTGTCCACGAGTTCGGCCCCGAGCGCCTCGGCACGCGTCGCTTCTCGGACCTGCTCGACCGAGCACTTCCATAGCTTGGTTCGCATCGCGATCCAAACTGTGGTCCCCTTGTGAAAGACGACGGCCCCGGGGCCGACCCGCCGGTCGCGCTGCAGCGCGTGAGTTTTCACCCCCGTCACCTTGCGCCACACGTGCACCCACTGGCCGGGCAGAAAGACGCGATCGACGTGGGGTCGAGATCTCCAGGCCTCGGCGAGACGCGACTTGGCGTCCGCCGCCATCAAGGCCTTCTTGGCCTGCTCACGGATCTGATGCTTTCTGGCGAACGCGCTGGCCGCACTGTCCTGCATGGCGGACTCGGCTTGGACGTCCTCTAGGCCGCTGTCGCCCACTCCCTCGTCACTGAGAAGAGACCACGGCAGCCTGGGGTTCTCTCCGAAGACCAGCTGGTACGGAGAGTACCCAGACCGGTGGTAGTATCGATTTTTTAGCGGACACTGCTTCATGGAGCAACAACTCGACCTCGGCATGAGACGTCGGCTGGACATGATCGGAGGCCTTCGTCAGAGCACTCTTGATCCATCCCCCGTGGCGCTCCGCCCGGCCATTCTGCCGCGGAGACGTGGCGTCGCAGACGTGCTGAAACACGCCTGCATGCTCACAGCCACGGCCGAACGCGCCCAGGAATTCTGATCCCCCGTCGCTGATGACGACCTCGGGGGGACCAAAGATCCTGATCCAGCTCTTGTCAAAAGCCTCCCAGATATTCTCGGACGTCAATGGCTTGAGGGGCCCCAGGCTACGATAAGCCAAGTTTCCCGAAAACCCCTGAAAGGCACCCCAACAAATAATTACATAAAACACGAAAAATACAAACCTATAATTACAAGAAATACCAAAAATACCAGCACCACACCTCGTAACATGAGGCAGGGCAACGCACCACCATGACATCACAACGTCCAATATACTGAACAATGCCTCCCTGCGAAGCAACGAAACTCCCGTAAGAGCATCGAGCTCACTCGCGAGCAACGGCTACGGACATAGGGTGGTGGGTAATGGGTGAAGTAGAGTGGGGGAGGGATGGCGGCGACGGCGACGAGCAGGGAGGGGGTGGAGGGGCAGGCGGGGGGGGGAAGGGCAGGGGGGGGGGCACGAGGGAGGGGGGGGGGGAGAGGGGAGGGAGAGTGGGGAGGGAGGGGGAGGGGGAAGTGAGAGCAGGTGGGTGGGGGGGGGGGGGGGCGACATGTGAGAGGGCGGGGGCTGGACGACCATGGCAGCAGGAATCCAGGCGTGCGTTTCTCTGCACCCTGCGCAGGCCAGCCGTGAGACCCCAGCATGCCATCCCTGCGCAGGCGGTCGAAACGCTAGACCGACGGCGCTGCCCACACGCGCCGCGATAAGAGAGAAAAAGAGACCTGCCCGACTCAAAGGTGGGAAGTCGAATGGGTCGAGGGTGGATGGGGGCGGGGGGGTGGAGGGTGGGATGATGATGAGGAGGAAGCGGAGGAGGAAGAGGGAGGTGAGGAGGAGGGAGAGGAGGGCGCGGCCTCCCCCTCCTCCTCACCCTCCTCGTCCGCAACCGCCTCCGACTCTTCCCACTTCGGATCCTCCTCATGCTGCACTTCCTGCTCATCCCGATCCTCCTCAGGCTGCTGCTCCTCCTTCTCCTCCCTCCCCTCCTCCTCCTCCTGGCCCTCCTGACCCTCCTCCTGGCCCTCCTGGCCCTCCTGGCCCTGGAGCGAGACTGCCGCGCAGCCGCCGGGCCGCCAGCTCAGGCTCCAGGCGGCGCTGCGGCGGCAGGCGCCGCGGCGGCAGGCGCCGCGGCGGCAGGCGCTGCGGCGGCAGGCGCTGCGAAGGCTGCCGGGGCCTGCTCGTCGGGCCCGACCTCAAGCACCAGGCCGCCTCCCTCCAGGGCTGCGACCACGGGGCCGGGCATCTCGGACCACACGCCCTTCCCCTGGAGCTCGCGCTTCAAGGAATCCGCGGCGGCCTCGAGGGGTCGGGCTCCTCCACCCTCCGCCTCCACCCTGGCCAGTTCCACCTCCACCCCTACCTCCGCCCCCACCCACGTCCCCGTTTCCACCTCGACCTCCGCCTACACCGCCCTGGACCATCCTCACCACCTCCACCACCCCCCTCACTACCTCCCCCATCCACCTCCAGCTCGTCTTCCCATCACCACCCGCATCACGCTCACCGCCCCGTCGACCTTCACCTCCTTCTCCTCGTGCCCCCTCCTGGCCCTCGTCCTCCATCCTCCCTCAGTCTCCTTGACGTTCCTCTATCTGATATGTGTTGGTGTCTCTCCTTCATCGTCATCCTCCCTCAGTCCCCTTGTCTTTCCTCAGTCTCCATCCTCCCTCCGTCCCCTTGTCTTTCCTCTATCAACGGTCGCATCTCCTTCATCGTCATCGTCGTCGTGCTCGCGACCCCCAATGGCCTTGAGCTTCTTAGGCCCTTTGAGGGTCGGGAAAGCGTACTTCATCGAGAAGATAACGAAGGTGAGGGAGATCGTGATCATGCCATCGTGGGTCTGCGATTCCCACTTCGAGAGCCGATCCTTCTCGAAAATGCCCTGGTGCTTCCGCGCCAATTTCAGGCGGCCGTCCATGTCGGTGATCAACGAACCCAGATCCTTGAGCTTCTTGTTCGCGACCAGCTCCTTCGCCATTGGATGGGGCGGCGATTGGAGGAGCTGGTCGCAAACAGGCCGCCAATTCGGCTGCCACTGCTCGATGTTGGCGAACGCCACGTCGAACCCCGTCAGCCAGCGCTGCTTGCACTCGCTCAAGGAGGTGTCCAAGGCGACCAGGCTGTCCCTGACCAGGCGAGCGACAGGGAGTCCGTTGAAGATGCCGATGTGCGTTTCGCTGGCCGATGCGAAGCACGTGTCCAGGTTCTGGACAAACGATGGCCCCCTGAAGTCCTGACCGCAGCAGGAATGCGGCTGACAGAGGGGGGTGGCGGCGGAGGAGGAGGTGGAGTGGATTATGGTAATTCTGAGGAGGGGGAAGAGGATTAGGAGGAGGAGGAGGGGGAGGCGCAGGAGAGAGGAGGAGGAGGAGGACGAGGAGGAGGAGGAGGACAAGGAGGAGGAGGAGGAGGAGGAGGAGGAGGAGGAGGAGGATAGAGGAGGAGGATAGAGGAGGGGGACGAGAAGCAGAAGGAGGATCGTGATGAGCCCCCTGGGCCCTCCCCGTGGTGGTGGGGGGGGGGCACAGTGAGGCTGCCCCATGTTCCCGCCTCCCTCCTCCTTCTCCTCCTCAGCCGCCTCCTCCTCCTCACCAACCCCCTCCGCCTGCTCCTCCCCCGAGCCATCATGCGCCCCCTCATCGCCAACGTCATCATCATCATCATCATCATCATCATCATCATCATCATCATCATCACCATCATCATCATCACCATCACTCTCATCGTCATCACCAGCATCATCATCATCGCCGGCGTCTGATCGTGCCCGGGTCCTGGTCGGCAAACTGCATGCCACTCGTGCCCTCGAACGTCCTGAAGATGCTCTTCACGGCGTTGTTCAAGTTGCCGAGCGCCTCGTTGGCGGCCAACCACGCCTTCGCGCTGTCACCGTCAAAGTCCAGCTCGCACGTTACCAAGGGGCTCCCGCACAACCACGCCATGCCGACGTTCGCAAGCAGGCCAACCTGCCACCGAAGGATGTTGTCCGAGTAGCGGCAGGCCTCGGTGGCTTCCTCGAACGCCTTCTGCGCATCTTGGGTCAAGGTGACCGCGTAGCGTGATCCCAATACAAGCTTGCACTCGCCGATGATGTCGTTCGGCGACGAAATAGCATCGGCCCACTGCTGCGTCCAAAAATGGCCGTCCCCGTAGTTCCCGAAGATGGAGCCAGTCACGAGCCGCACGAAGACCTCCAGTCGACCAGCCAATCGCGACGCCAACATGTCCGTGATCTCCTTGTACTCGGGGCTCGCGTGGAACTTCTCGAGAACTGTCTGCATGGCATCCGCTACTGGATGACCGTCCCAGAACGGCTTCAAGTAATCATCGATCTGTCGCTGCGTGTCCGCC